AGCAGATCGCAGGTGACGGATGGTGCACCTGCAGAGAGCCCCTCCTCAGCGCCTGTGGGCCTGCTGCGCCGCCTGCTGCGTGAGCCTAGGTGGAGTGGGTCCTAGTGCAGCGCTTGGTGGTAGTAGTAGATATACAAATGAGAACTTTGAAGACCGAAGTGGAGGAGGGTTCCGTGCGTACTATAGTGCACAGTCAGCGTTGCTGCTGCGCTCGCTGCCCCGGTCCCCCGCCTTGCTGCGCCTAGGCACAGTTCACCATCTGTGGATCCCAACCGGGCATGGTCGCACTCAAACCTCCCACAGCAGATAGTGGGACCGGGCGGTATGCCCCCAGTTGTGGCGTCCCAGCCAAACACCCCACCAGACGATGTCTTTCACTTGGATCAGACAGGCCACGAGGGCCTGCACCTTGGATCGAGAAGCAGGGGCAGAGCCCCGGCTCCACCTCACGAAACGAGTAAAATAACGTAGTGGTATTTCACTTGTGCCGTAAGGCTCCCACTTATTCTTGCCCGACCAACAGTTGGGGGCTGTACTACTGTGCTAGCCATCGGGTCTCCGCGCTGGTCCCCGGCACCGGCTCATCAGTGTGCCCGCTTTCAGTTTCCACAGCAGATTGAGGTTGGCGGAAGATGCACTTGCAAAAAGGCTCTCACCACTCAGGTTTCTTTCGTCTCGTGGGCTAACCCAACAAGCTCGCATGTACGTTGAACTCCTCAGCCCGCGGTTTCAACAGTCCATGGGCGTATCCATTGAGCTACGCCCGCTGGACTCCGCAAACAACTCCGACACCAGCATTGTCACCGCAGCCCAGAAACGGGACCGGCAACTAAAAATAACTAGAGAAAAATAAAAAAATAAAAAATAAAAATAAATAAATAAAAAATAGAAAACACGAGCATCGGGAACTCGCGCTTTGGGGAAGAGAGACTGTCAGTACCACTCTCAGTTCCGCCGACCGGGCCTATGGATGGGCCGACAACAAAACCAAGGGGGATAGCCCCACCGGGCCCTCGACCCCTTGGCATCTTCAGCCGCTCCGATGTTCCATCACCGCCGGTCGCCGCCTTCGATCCCTGTACCGTCGCTTTGAAAGTCCAATGCCGTTACCAATAGTGCTAGTACCCAAGGCTGAGACGGACTTGTTCTATTTTCTCCCGCACACCCCAAGTACTGCACAAGGCAACACCACTTCCTATGACACACGCCGTATGGATGCAGGTGCACCACGGTCACTTTAATAAAAGAAAAACCCTTCCAAGTTTTAATCAAAAATTTAAAATTTTGTCGGCGGAAACGCCGAATCTATAACATCAAAATAAGAATCATCACGCGCACCTCAAAATTGCGTGCCCACACACTTTGCTCCTAGTCAATCACTCAGTCAGCGTGAACCAAACACAACCGTGATTTGTGCAGTGTACTCAATTTCGAATGACTTATTTTCTGTCACTTGCAAAAACCAGGGCGGATACCCTTGTAAGGGTATTCGCGCCGACAACGGATCCTCGGTTTCTATGTACATCGCCCAACTGGGCGTGTAACAATTGGTATCGGTGCACCGCATGTGAATCAGGACAACCTGATCTGACACGTGTGCGGGGATTAAATAGCTGATTAGTCTTTATTGATTGATTAGAGCACATTAGTTAGACCCCAAAATCACGATTTTGACCTTTCTGCCGAAAATCGATTTTTTTTTTCTTTCCTTGAATTTTGCAAGGAAAATAAGTAACAGCGAGATGACAATTCCAGATCACACCATCACATTGAAAGCCAAATAGTCACACCGTGTCCAGAGAGCAACATTGCACCAATAATACACCAATGGAGGTTCGTAGCACTGAAAACCAATGTTCATGGAGAGCATACTCTCTCCTCCCAACACAAGAGTCCAATTCCTTCACACTCACACTTCGCGCTCAACGCCCAGCCTACTCCTACACAGCTACTACAGACTACAAAAAGACAATGCAACTGTTGACATCAGCGGCAGCCCGAAGTACTTGAGGATGTCGCCCATGCAGACCATCACCAATACAAGGTAAGTGCCCTCACATCATCATCATCATCATCATCCTTCACCTATCCCCTGACTACACCCACACCTGTCCTCTCTTTCACCTGAAGACCACCCCTGCGCCTCACTGTAGTCCAAGCTCAGCCTGCTATGAAGGCTGGCTATAGCGCTGCCCTCAGCAGCGCCCTTCTTCCCTGCACGACCGCACGTGCTGCACGTCGCCTCTCATCGCCAACCAGCAGCCGCGAGCCTTTGCTCCAGCAGCGGTGCCGCCAGCATGCAAGTGCTCCCCTCACGCAGCCAGGGCCGAGCTCTTTCCTTTATAGAAAGAGTTGGCTTGCTCTCGCAGCTGGCTGCACTGGCCTGGGCCCAGAAGCTTCCGGAAGGCCCCAGGAGGCTGCCTGTGTACAGCAGCTACTGGGCTGCTGGGCCTCGTTCGGTTGGGTGCCCAACTGTCTCTGTATGAGGCTGCGAATCACGCCTAGGGCCTGCATTCTTTGGAAAGGCCCGGAGGGCCGTGGAAATGTCTTTGTTGCTCGGCCTGTGTTTCTCTCAACCAACTGGCGCGTCGCAACTGCCTGGACCCCAAATATGAAATTGACAGTCGAGGGCCTCTTGCAAAAAGCCAGGCCCCCCTTCACTTAGGGCGGGTAAGGCTGCAAACAGGGCCCCATAGGCCTACAGAGGACCCTGATCCTCGCAATTTTGTTTTCTCGCTATTCTGTTGTGGTAAATCGTGATAGCGCAACATCTGAAATTCCCATTTTCGTTTTCCCTCTGAAAATTCGAAATTTCGTTGTTAAAAATCCGGAATATTCTTCTTTTCGAAAAATTCGATTTCCTGTTACTTAATTCGGAATATCTTCCTTTTCGAATTTCGTTTTTCTGAAAACGGTACGGGAAATCCCTCCTGCAGGTATTATTTTCCAAACTACGAATATTCTCATCTGAGAAAATCCGAATATTTGTCATTTCTTTTCGGAATTTTTTTTTCGCAGTTCTAGGATTCTGTTAGTCAGTTCTACAAATCATTTGCAGTCTGAAGTCAAATTTGTTTTCTCTCATTGATCATTTCGCACTTCAAAGGAGGTTGGGAGACCTACTGAACTTGCAAAACTCGGGATTTTTTTATTTCGAATTTTTTTTTGCAGAGTTCAAACTTTTCCTTTTTGATTAGTGGCTCTTTATCTGGGCGATTCTCCCCNACCCACCCTCCCCACCTATGTTGTTGCCCCCTCTGGCCTTACCTTCTCTATCCATCTCCGGGTACCTCCTGCGACGGCATTGGTGAGTTGTCATGTCAGCAGGCCACGGCAGCAGACAACGTCAGCAGGACACGCCAGCAGATGTCAGCAGGCCACTTCAGCAAGACACGTCAGCAGGACACGTCAGTAGGCCACGCCAGCCGACAGAGCATGAAATACCACGTCAGCAGGCCCCCGGCCTGGTATATGCTGTTGCGGTCACAAACAACCGTCATGGACCAGAGGTCCGGAGAAGCAGACGAGGCCTATCAGGCCCGGATGCTGGCTTGGAGTACCGAAATGAAGAAACGGGCAGATGACGCAGCAGCAGCAGCGAAGAAGAAGGCAGAGGATGCCGAGCAGGCACGTCTGCTGGCACTTGAACAACAGCGCCAGCATGACGAGGCAGCAGCAAGGGCTGCCGATAAAGAAAGAAACGAACATCGTGAGAAGATATTTAGCGGAGAGCAGACTTTGCTCACAACGGCAGCGGCATGGTGGACCGAGGCCGAGAATGGCAAGTTGGAGGATTGTGAAAACAAGATCGCTCTCCTCCTCTCGCATCTCACAGACCTCCTGGCTACATGCATTACACAGCAGGAGGATATCCACAGCCTCGACGACTCGCTCACTCAAGTCCAAGGCCGCGTTCAGCAGCTGGAACAGCGACCAGTCGCTGCCGCCGATGCAAGCTCTTCTAATACCTCCGATCGCCTCGACGCATTGGAGATGGACGTCGGCTCCCTCAAGGATGGCGTGCAGTCACAGCAGACCGCAACGCAACAGTTGGAACAGCGGATCTGTACCGCAGCCAACACCTCGAGTCCGGAACCACGCGAGACAACTCCAAAGTTCGACGAGCAGGAAATCTTCTGCGACTCGACAAAGACAGATCCGATTCCATGTTTCCGCAAGTCCGAGCTCACACTGCAGCTACACAACGTCAAAGAACACAAGCACCACGCATACTTGTACTCTCGCTCAGGGGGCGCGTGCCAGGCTTGGTTGGACAACCTCTTGTCCAAGTACGGAGTGGTAGCTGCCGACTTGCACACCAAGATCAGTTGGGGTGATTTGAAGGCGGCGTGGCACAAGCGGTTCCAAGTTGAGCCGCCCCAGATCAAGGCTATGGACAAGCTCATGGTCTTCGAGCAAGGCACGCTGCCGAGTACCAACGCTTGACGTCAGTCCCAGACATCCAGAGATGGGCTTCAAGGCCATCCGCCATTACTTCATCTCAAGGTCCTGTCCGACATTAAGCAATGCCCTGACTCACGTCGAGGACACCTTGACGACAACGGCGGAACTCTTTGACAAGGCCGCACAGATCATCATTACGAACAAGGAGGCTAAGAACCTCCGTTCGTCTGCGTCAGGCCCAAGCAGGGACCAACATCGGCCAAGAGTGGCCGTGGTCGCAGCGGCAACGCCGTTTGACCAAACCAGCGAGGCTGTGTCTGCCAGTGAAGGGGACACACTCGCAGCCGCCCGGGAAGGTGGCCGCCCCGGCAGAGGCCGAGGACGCGGCAAGACAAGACACACACCGCATCTAGCCCCAGGCCCGGTGCAGCAGCTCCAGCAGCCCCATGGTCCCAATATGGCATCTCCAAGCAAGCATTCAAAGCGCGCGAGAGATTCCACTATTGCCTTTGGTGCAACAACGATCTTCATCAGACATTGTCTGCCCATTGAAAGGCAAGGGCAAACAGGGAAACTGAGCACCGCCGAGAGTGACTCGACAACACTCTCGACGCCTCCGGAACCGATTTCTTCGCGAGTAACCGGCCTTCATTCCGAGGCGCACGCGGAAGTCGATAGTCCTCCTCTTCTACTTTCTTTTGAGGACTATGCTGCCCAACTCGTTCCTACGCTGGGTACTCAAGCTCAAGGACAAGAGGTGTGTGCGGTTTCTTCTCCGTCCGGCAGCGGCGACATGTTGTCTTCAAGTGGTTCTTCACGGGAATCGATGCGCGAGTTCAACATAGAGGTATTGGACCCGCTCACGTCCGAGGACTTTGCATGGGACCGCAATGTGCAGCACAATGCGCTCATCTACACACTTACTTATCCTTCTATGCACCACCAACTTCGCCGACAGATGACGAAGTCGCGGTGGGGGACATCCTGGCGTATACTACCAAGGTGGCCCGCGAGTTTCGCACGCCGCGGTACGATGACAACAACGCACCGCTCATGTATGTCCGCATCCAAGTTGGGCAAGCGTCCTGCAACGCTTTGCTGGATAGCGGCACGTCTCGCAATTTCATGAGCCAATCCTTTATGCAAAGGGCTGGCCTTGGCGCACAAGTTCGGAGGAAGGCAAACCCGACGGCGATCAAGTTGGCGGATGGAAAGACGCAACAACTTCTCGACCGTTACATCGAGGCCGTACCGGTTTATTTCGCACCTCATGCATGCGAACCGGTGACCTTTGATATTCTCGACATGGACTTCGACATCATTCTGGGAATGCCTTGGCTTGCAAGTGCGGATCACACGGTCAACTTCCACCGGCGGACTCTTAGCGTTCGCTATGCCTTCGGCGCGGAAGTGGCGTGTACTATTCCTTTACCGCACCCTTCGATTCGGTGCCAAGTGGTGACGGCCAAATCATTCAGGGCGACTTGCGCTTACGAGCAGCCCGAGGAGATCGGCCTATGTTTCCTACGGACCGTCGCGGTAGCCGATGCTTCACCCATGGACTTGTCTTCGGACCCCCGGGTGGTGCGAGTTCGCCGACATCTTCGAGTCACCTACCGGTGTGGTGCCGGATCGGCCGATCTCTCACGAGATCATTCTTGAGGCCGGTGTCGTGCCGCCGAAAGGTTGCATCTATCGCATGAGTGAGGAGGAGTTTGAGGTCCTCCGCGCACAACTCGACGATTTGTTGGCCAAGGGATGGATCCGCCCTAGCAGCTCCCCATATGGAGCACCGGTTCTCTTCGTCCGGAAGAAGAACAAGGATCTACGATTGTGTATCGACTACCGCAAGCTTAACGCGCAAACCGTCAAGAAAGCGGGGCCTCTTCCTCGCATCAACGATCTTCTTGAGCGACTGGGCGGCGCAAATTATTTTTCGAAGTTGGATTTGAAATCGGGATATCATCAAATCTCGATCCGGCCGAACGATCGCTACAAGTCCGCGTTCAAGACGCGGTACGGGCATTTTGAGTGGGTGGTCATGCCTTTTGGCCCCACCAACGCCCCAGCGACCTTTCAAGCGACAATGACCAATGAGTTTCGTGCAATGTTGGACCGGTTCGTGCTGGTCTACTTAGACGATATTCTCGTCTATAGCCGGTCATTGGAAGATCATCTTGGGCATCTTCGACGAGTGTTGGAGACGCTCCGCCGCGCCAAGTACAAAGGCCAACCGCGACAAGTGCGAATTTGTCCGGCAAGAGCTGGAATGCTTGGGCCATTTTGTCACACCGGAGGGCATCAGTCCACCACCGGACAAGATTCAAGCCATCCAAGAGTGGGCGGAGCCTCGGAACGTCACGGATGTCCGCTCATTCCTTGGTCTCGCCGGCTACTATCAGTGTTTCATGAAAGGCTACTCGAAGATTGCGGCCCACTTGACCAAGCTTCAATGCGAGGATCGGCCATTTGACTTTGGAGAGGAGGCGCGGGAATCATTCTTGGCTCTCAAAGCCGCGCTATTGTCCGCGGAGGTGTTGCGTATATACGACCCGCTTTTGCCTACACGCGTCACTACGGATGCGTCAGGCTATGGCATTGGTGCCGCCCTCGAGCAACATGATGGTGTGGACTGGCACCCGGTCGAGTATTTCAGTAAGAAAGTGTCTGTCGTGCATTCAATTGACGATGCACGCAAGAAGGAGCTCCTCGCCTTCGTCCACACGCTCAAGCGGTTGCGGCACTTCCTCCTTGGTCGAAGCCAATTTCGATGGGTAACGGACAACAATCCGTTGGTCTTTTACAAGACCCAAGACACCGTCAACAGCACCATCGCTCGATGGATGACTTTCATCGACCAGTTCGACTTCTTTCCCGATCATATTCCCGGGAAGTCGAACCGTTTTGCGGATGCTCTTTCACGCCGTCCGGATCTTTGTATCGCGGTCTACTCAACCTTCGAGATCGACGATGACCTGCGGAACAGCTTCATCCGCGGCTACCAAGCCGACCCCGAGTTTCGCGACAAGTACGCGAATTGCTCCTCTCCTAATCTGGCGCCTTCTCACTACCGGATCCAAGAGGGGTACTTGCTTGTCCACACGTGGGGGAAGGACCTTCTTTGCGTACCGAGTGATCCTCACTTGCGTACACGGCTTCTTGGCGAGTTCCACGATGCTCCCGCCACCGGACACTTTGGAGTCAATCGCACGATTGGCCGACTTCGCCAGTGATTTTGGTGGCCCAGCCTTCTCGGCGACGTCACGCGCTATTGCGAGTCATGCGAGGTTTGCCGACGCTGCAAATCCCGCAACCATTGTCCGTACGGCAAGTTACGACCATTACCAGTCCCGTTGAGGCGAAGGGAAGCGATTGCCATGGACATTACCGGCCCGTTCCCCAAGCACAAGACCGGATTGGATGGGATTCTCACGGTGGTCGACCGACTCACCAAGTTCGCCTTGTTCTTGCCTTGTCGCTAACATGCCAAGGCACCGGAGTTGGCCGAGGTTCTTTACGCCGGTTGGATTCGAACCAAGGGTTACCTCAAGGAGATCGTCTGAGACCGCGACACCCGGTTCATGTCTGATTACTGGTTGGCGCTCATCAAGCGATGGGGCTCATCTCTCAAGCCCAGTTCAGCTCGCCACCCTCAGACGATGGCCAAACGGAGAGGGCGCACCAGACCGCACAGGTTCTCCTTCGTACTCTCATTCGTCCTGACCAGAAGGACTAGGTTGAGCGGTTGTCGGATGTCGAGTTGGCCTTGACCAGAAGGACTAGGTTGAGCGGTTGTCGGATGTCGCCCTTTGAGTTCGAGCACGGCTCGCCGGTCACTTCACCGTTGGACACTATTACTCCACGGACGGCCGAGAGCGACGACCATCTTTTGTTCTTGCGTCGGATGCAAGAGCTTCTTGTCAAGGCACGCGATCAGATGGCTAAGACGCAGCAACGCATGAGCCAGCAGGCCAATCGCCAGCGTCTTCCTTGCCCATTCCGCGCAGGGGACCTTGTTTGGGTTTCCACAGCGGAATTCAGCCTTGAACAAGACATCTCTCGCAAGCTCCTCCCGAAATGGATGGGGCCTTGGCCGATCGTAGCACCCGCTGGGGATGCAACCGAGGGACCTTCCTTCACGATTCAGGTGCCCGGCCACCTGCCCGTCTACCCAGTCTTTCATTGCTCCAATGTTGGCTCTTTACACGCCAGCGGAACATGACGATTTTCCCAGGAGACGTTCGCAAGACCCACCTTCCATGGACGGTTTTTAGGAGGTCGGCGACATCATCTCCCAGCGACGCTACGGCAACAGGCCAACCGAGTATTTAGTGCACTTTGCATACTGCACACACCGAGCTGATCGTTGGTTGCCCCATGCGGAACTTCAAGCAACAGCTCCAGACGTTCTCGCACGCTACGAACGCAAGATGCAAGGCAAGCCGGTTTCTTCGGCTCCACGCCGCGCCCGCGTCCAGGTTCCACTTTCAGATCGTCGGCTTCGCCCTCGCCCCGGCTTGACTTCATAAGGAGGGGGGGGTGTTACATGCTGCGCCTGCACACGAGGGCCATTTTCCAGGCCCCTCGTCCCTCAGGCTGAAAGCCTGAAATTCAGGCTTAAAGCCTGAAAACCAGGGCCTACAGGCCCCGTGACTATTCAGCCCGAAAGCCTGAAAACAGGGGCCTACAGTCCCTGTGTCGTTTCAGACTGAAAATGGCAACAGCCTTTTTAGCCTGAAACGAAGGGCCATTTTTGGTCGTTCATCAGAACGACCGGCCCTGAAACTCAGGCACCAAACCAGGGTTTCGGGAACAGGCTATTCTTAGCCTGTTCCCACACCAGCCTCAGCAACTGCTGCAGCGCCAGCCCCTGGCACACTTCGTCATTGGCAAGAGCAGCCTCCTCGGCCTGGCTCGCCCTTCAGGCAGTCAGGAGGCAGGCCGAGGTAGTACATAGGGACTTCCCATGCACTTCACGGGTAGGCAGGAGGCAGTTGTAGTCTTCAGGATTCGGCAGCAGCACTCTGGAGGGAGCGCTGCAGGGTAGTAGTAGCGTTAGCTTTTAGTCTTCAGCGCTGGGCGCAGTAGGTAGCTGTAGTCTCCAGCGCTGGGCGCCATAGCTAG